AATGTTGAATAGAACAATGCGAAAAGCACGATTTTGCCCAATACAAGGCGGAAATCAACCTGGTACAGAAGAAAATCTTATTTTTGAAAAGGGAAAATTTAGCACTTAAGCAAAAAAGCACATTTAAGGGCTTTTAAAAAACAAAAATCGAAAATAAGAACCTTTAAGCACTTTTTAATGATGCTATGCACCATGATAATCTAAGAAAGGAAACACATGTGTATATCTAAGTCGTTCTAAGAAGCTTCATAATTTTAATAATCATTTCCAAAATGCAGAAAATAAGAAATAAACATAGAAAACTTCTGCAAAATGCAAAGAAAATTGACAGCATAATCAAGAATCAACTCACGATTTAAATACCATATGAAATAAATTGAAGACTATCAGTGCCTCCCCCCCCCCAAGCTCTTGGGCAAATTCTAAATTCCCCCCCAAACTATTCGTTTTATTTAGTGTAAAAATTCCCCCCCCCAAGCTTTAAGTGGGCACATCGTGCACCCACCTTCCCCCCTAAAGACTATAGAAGAGATTTGGCTAAGCAAAACATATTTTATAATTATCATGCAAAATTATAAATGTAACACATAAAGTGCAAAATATTTTCTGTTAATTCAGAGTGTAGCGTCTTTGAAAGAAAATGTCAGAGTGCTTTCTAGAAACACAAAAATTTTGTGATTTCAGAACATAGTATGGTCAACTTTTTGAAATATAGAATTAAGAAAATTATATTCTAATCAACATGATGTTTTATTCTGTCAAATCTTCATCGCAATTTTACATGCTGCAAATTATTTAAAGGCAGCCTTTTGATGTTTTTATACATTTTAAAGCTGATTTTCAGAAATTAACTACCATGTCACTTACAACAAATTCCAACTCTAAGCTCCTCAAATATGATCCACCATTGTCATATTTTAAAATTATTAATCACCACCATTATTAATTAATGCTTAATTTTGCATATTCTTTATTTATGAGATCTGAATAAGGTAGGCAGGTATGTACTTAATTTACGCCACACTAGAGCTGCTCAATGGTGCTATTGGCAAACAGTTTGAGAAACTTCCCTAAGAATAATCTGAAGACATGCCATCGGAATTTTGATCCTCTGCAGAGGGGATGGTTCCGGCTTTGGTAGCCCGACGACCTGCATGCGAAGTAAAGCACTTCACGGTAGAACAGATTTACAAGGACAAATACCGTGCACCCTCGGTTCCTACACCGGCTGATCAAAGTGGTCACCCACCTACTTGACTTTAAAGTTCTACTGGGAGCCCTGTCTTTACGGTCAGTCCACTGCAGGACTTCGAATAAGGAGCTTTGTATTATAGATCAAACTATGTAGACCTCTCTTAAATTTCAACTATGAAGCTTTTATTTTAAAGTAACTCTAGTTATGTTTCGCAGATATAGCAGTAAGGCTATGTTAAAAGAGTACCACATGTTTTTTTTTCCTTCTTTTATATAAAATTCCAATTTTTTTTTAAAATCAATATCTTAGTTTTTTTTTATAAACAGTAAAATTTTTATACATAGTAAACTTGGCTAATTTTATTTGTTCTTTAAGAGCTGTAAAATTTTTTGGCTAATTTACCAATTTAACAGTTCTTTAAAAAACAAATATCTAAAAGTATGAGTCCTGTGCGAACATCATTTCCTGCTGATACTCAGACATGTGACTAAATCAGAATCAAAAATACTCTGTGCAAAAATTTTATTTTTAATAGGGATTATTATTTTTTTGTTGTTGAAAACTTACCCAATTTTAGGGAATTTTTAAAAATGTATAAAAACTAGGAGAATTTTTATTAAAACAGTAGACCAGGAGAAACTCGAAAAATCCAGGAGAGTTAGCAGCTATGAATTAGTAATGGATAAAATTTGCACCCAGAGTCATCTGCCTTGCCCCACCCAAGCTACTCTACTGAAGTCATTATCAATATGTATATAAAGGAAAAAAAGGTTAAATGACAAAACTTTTGTATTCTAATCTTTATTACATGCTTAAGTTAAACAAACCACAGTGTGAGTTTGAAGGACAGATAAGAAATTATATTACAAAATTCAGTCTAATGTACTACTTCAAAATAAATCATAGAACATGATAATATGAAACACAAAGTTCAGCAATAACATGTTTCACTACTATACATGAACAAAATTTGCAACATATTCCACTATTAATCACTTATTCAGGGCTACCACTCAAATCAGAAGAAAAAAAAATAATCCCTGTACATATCATACACAGTGTATTTAAGAGGGAGGAGCTACTGTATGAGCTATATTCAGGGTATCTGCTACATTTCAGATTTTGAAATTCCAAGAATTTTTCATGACTTATCGAATTTAGTACAAAAACACAACAATAAATTTAAAAAAACATTATAATAACATTAATTGAAATGATAGGTACAACCATAACTGTTACACTCTGCATCTTCATATTAATTGATTTTTGAAATTAAAAAACAGAGTAAAGAAAGAGTTGAAGGAATAAAATAGCTGAAAAAAATACTAAAGCAAAAAAAAAAAAAAATTGTTGTTGTTTTTTTTCCTGCAGAATTATATTCTAAAGATACTCTTCGTGTTCATCGGAAAGGAAAGAAATACTCTTGATTTTTCTGTTCTCATTTCGGAATAAAAAAAATTTGCCAATGTCTGGCTTGCTTCAGATAGAATTTTAAATTGATAAAATAAAAATAATAATAACAAAAATTCTGAAAACACTAAGTTTAAAAGATAATATTCACTCTAGAAATGATTTTTCTCCTTTCATTTTTTGAAAGACCATAATTTTTAAAGAACATGATAAAAACATTTTTAATTTTAATAAAATATGACTGTGAGTGGGGATTTTGTTACAAATTCAGATATTCAAAACACCATGAAATTGGGTGCGGGGGGGGGGNTACTACTTCAAACATGATAAACAAATAGAACATGATAATATGAAACACAAAGTTCAGCAATAACATGTTTCACTACTATACATGAACAAAATTTGCAACATATTCCACTATTAATCACTTATTCAGGGCTACCACTCAAATCAGAAAAAAAAAAAAAAAATCCCTGTACATATCATACACAGTGCATTTAAGAGGGAAGAGCTACTGTATGAGCTATATTCAGGGTATTTGCTACATTTCAGATTTTCAAATTCCAAGAATTTTTCATGACTTATCGAATTTAGTACAAAAACACAACAATAAAGTTAAAAAAGCATTATAATAACATTAATTGAAATGATAGGTACAACCATAACTGTTACACTCTGCACCTTCATATTAATTGATTTTTGAACTTAAAAAACAGAGTAAAGAAAGAGTTGAAGGAATAAAATAGCTGAAAAAAATACTAAAGCAAAAAAAAAAAAATTTGTTGTTTTCTTTCTGCAGAATTATATTCTAAAGATACTTTTCTTGTTCATCGGAAAGGAAAGAAATTTCTGTTCTCATTTCGGAATAAAAAAAATTTGCCAATGACTGGCTTGCTTCAGATAGAATTTTAAATTGATAACATAAAAAATATAAAAAAATTCTGAAAACACTAAGATTAAAAGATAATATTCACTCTAAAAATGATTTTTCTTCTTTCATTTTTTGAAAGACCATAATTTTTTTAAAGAACATGATAAAAACATTTTTTATTTTAATAAAATATGACTGTGAGTGGGGATTTTGTTACAAATTCAGATATTCAAAACACCATGAAATTGAGTGGGTGGGGGGGGGCATTTTAAAAATTAGATTTCTCAGCAACCTAAATCCATGATTTTCCATGATTAAAAAAAAAAGTTAAAATCATGACAAACTTTGTTCAATACTGAAATTCATGACTTTCCATGATTTCTCATGACTTTCCAGGTGGGCAGATAACCTGTATATTGAGCTAACTATACTAGTTTTAATTACTGGAAAACTTAAGAGTAAAAAGGAACAGCTGACATACTAAAACAATGCTAGTTTAGTATACATCTGAAAAAATATATCCCCTCCAAAAATTTTTTTACTTAAATTGCTAAAAACAGAGTCAGTTTATGTCTCTAAAAATACACTAACTTCATATCAAATCAAATTAAAATAAAAATTAAAATCTTTTTTTTATTTTTAATCTGCAGTTTTCAATGATTTTTTTGTGAAACCTGCTTCTGACATTAAAAATACAAAGTTTCAGATTTTTTCCACTATTTGTTGCTTGAGTTAAACTTTTTTTTAAATTTCAATAATTTTTTTTACATATTTAAACAGCTGTAACATAAAAATTATTTGATCTACAGCGCTAAATTTTGTAATATTGGTTTTTAATGGCATTTCATAAGATACTATGGTTATGCTATTTTTTGTTTGAAAACTGAATTTAAATTACTAAAAATCAATATGTTTAATTTTTTCAACTTATTTTTTAAGCATTGTATGTAAACTTTCAAGATTGTATTCCTATGTCATCATAAAAAGAAGAAAAAAATTTTCCTAGTTTAACAATTATAAACTATATAATAAAAACCACATTGCAAGCAATTTTAAGAACAGTTCTGGTAAAAAGGGACATATTCCTGAAACTACATGATTTACATCTGTTCAACTAAAATGTGATTTTTTTTTATATTCATGATTTCCTACAAGATTACCATTCTAAAATTTCACAAACATTGTCAATAATTCCAAGTTTTTTAAAAAGTTAAATTACTTTTTTTATAAATGACTTAGCTATGTCATATATCTTAACAAATTCCATTAAAAACTGGAGAAAAAAAATGGCATATAATTTAGCTAAGTCAAATAAAAATTTAGCTGACTGAAACAATATTGATAATCTAGAATTTTCGAGTGGGATTTTTTAAGCTCATAACAAAGAGCATGTTACGAAATGAAAAAGAAAAATGGTACAAATTAAAATGGAGCACTGAACAATATATAAACATATAACAGAAATAGAAAGTTTATCAACTTAATAAAAATTATAAAAACTAAAAGTTTGAGTGAATTTCTTACTTCTAACAAATAGGATCTATCTTGAAGAGAGCATAAATAATTGGCAAACCTAAATAAAAAATACGAATTCCTTTAATATCAACAAGAAGAAAAACTTTGAAAAAAAGATTTGTGAAATCATTGATAAAAATTGGGAAAAAATTTTTTTAAATATAAGACATGCAAAGTTTTAAGTCATTAAATAAACTGCATCAAAAATTCCTTAAAAAAATAATTAAATTCATCACAATTTCAGTCAGTTATTACTTATTTCACAATTTTTTAAAATGTTAATTATTCAATAGTATATCACATCAAAAATAAAGGTTAACTGTTTAAGTAACTACTTTTCATTTTTAAGTTAAGGTTTTTTCAAATAAAATTTAAAAAAATGAATAATACAAATGAATTTACATCACTGTTAACTTCTAAGGGGAAATTTCAGTATTGAGATCAGTGGCAGAATAATCGCCAAGCCCGGGCAGCGGCCCGCGAGAAACTAAAAATATAAAAAAAACATCACATAAAGGGATCAACTCGAAAGGTATAACTCGTAACCACCCCCGAGCAAACATCTACATGTTTTTTTTCTTTAAATTTGCAAGTTTAAAATCTATTTGGCACCTTAGCGATAGTAGTTGGAGCCACAGATCACGATATGGAAATATCCCTACTTTTCACCAAAATTATCATTTATAGTTCTCACAAACACTTGAACATAAATACAGATTTGGCTGGGTATATATAACTTAGCTTTTAGTAGTAGCCCTTTAATGTGTCTATTTCAAAATAAATTTATTTACTTTACATTACAACTTATACTTTAAATTATATCAGTCACAATAAATCATTCTATTTGTTTACATGAACCAGTCAAAATCTGCCTAACTCAACAAACTGTGAACATGTTAATACTTGTCTACAATTTTCTTGAAGATATAACAAACGTATTTTAAAAGAAAATCTATGACTAAGAGTGGAAGTATATATCTGAAAAATTCCTCTACAAACCAAGCTCAAATTTAAGAGTATGGTCGATAATATATAAAATTTTGCCTCAATTGTGGCCACTGGGTTAAGAAATGAGCTCATGAAAATAAGTTTTAAGTCCATTTAAAATTAAGATTAAAAAATGTAACATAAATTGAGCATCGGTGGTCAAATAATTAAGAGGCATCCAACTGGTAGCTGAAAGAATTCAGGTTCTGTTTCAGCTATTACAAACTTTAACCTTCATTTCTTAAACGTGTTACATTATTTATTTTAATTATAGATATTTAAAAACCATTTAATTTCAATGTTTAATTTTTTAAATTAAAAATATTCAATTTTATTTTTTAAATACATGTTTTTAAAAAAATTTTTTTTCTTCTTTTTAAATATAAATAAAAAAACCAAGAAACTCAAATCAGTCTCTGAGGGTTAATATCTTGATTCAATAAACACAGTTGCAGCAAATATTTACACTTTTCTGTTTCTGACCATCTTCATTCATTTAATCTTGGTTTCATTCCATAAAGATTTTACAAATACATACTTCCTTTGTAAGATAAATTCGTAAAACAACTTCAGTTGTCGGCGTAATTCTCCAAAAAAAAGTTTAGTAGTTGAAAAATGTAAATATTTTGTTGCAACAAAAAGATACGTATCACAAACATCAAGGGGATTGTTATAAAAAGTCAACTTCTACCAAAAAAGCACAAGGAATGATACATTGGCACAATACTGGCAAGAACACGAAACATTGAAAAATGCTAATATGCAATTCATGTAGCTGATGTGCGTCGAGTGGAATGCCTTGGAGCTTTAGCTTCAGGTTGTTCACTAGTGTCTATAGCTTCATCTTCAGCCCAGTTCTCACGTGAAAGCTTACGTTTGTTACTCCTCCTTCGAGATTTTCGATAACCAATCTCCGCCGAGCGACGCTTCCTTTTGGTCTCTGAGCGTGGCCGGGAGCCATCGTGTGGGTGGTCATCTTCTGCACCGGACGATATCCATATCTCACTCCCTTTTTCCTCAGAGCCCATGTTATCGTCCGATATTTTCTTGCATGACCTCCTACGGCGTGGCTTTTCCACATCAGATTTGGACAACTCCTTTCCTCCAGTATAGCGTAACTTTCGCGGTGCATCGGCATTGACCGTGTCCTCGTGCTGCTCTTCCTCCTCAGTTTTATCACATTCGCTGCATTGCCATCCTAAGGATTTTGTCTTCTTGGGCATTCTGGACAGGGGTGGGTCCAGGCATGCTAAGTGATAATGTAACTGACAACTGTCACATTTTGCAAGTTGGTGCTGATCATGTGACTTATGACAGATACTACACTCCATGATGACAGATCCAGATGAATCAGACTTTTTGCTTTTACTCGATTTAACGATAGGCTTCGGCTGTAATACTTCTGGGATGGGAAGCTTTTTGTTGGACAAGTCGCAAAGTATTCTCCAAAATCGCATTCCACTCTCGGTCAAATCAGAATTCTCTTTTCGTATGATGTCCACGTCGGCCACCAGTCTTTCGTAATTCTGGCGAAAATCTTGCTCCTGTTCTTGTAGGTGACTATTCTGCTGCAAGAGTTCGTCCAGCCTGTGTTGCATAGAAACCATTCGGATATTTCTATCCAAATAATAAGAAACAAATTCTGCACTAAAAGCAGGAGGAACGTGCCACTTACGACGAACGTCCATTCCGTAATCTCCGCTACTTAGGTGAAGCTGAGAGCTCAATCCTAACAATTCAGCTTTTTTAATCAGTTTTTTACATGCAGATGGACTGGTAGTGAGCAATCGGGGCATTTTCTGTGTGGGAACCCAAGGTTGGGGTCTTTTTTCTTTTTCAGCCTCGTAGCGATCTCGGTGCCAGGCTAATTTCCTGTCAATTCTTGTTTTTTCTTCAGAAATCGTATTATCTAAATGATGTTTTTCCCTAGATTGAGACTGAAGAGCTAGGTAGTTACGACGCTTACTACGGGAAACATTTTTATCAGAGTGAAGCTTGCAATAAGCAAAGAATGGATCAGCAATATCTTCTTCGGTAGAAGCCTTCGAGAGTAGGCCTTCTTTCTGTGCACAGGTTACGTGAAAATAGCTTCGACACATTCCCGCATCACAATTAATGCACACTCCTGTGCGGCTAAAGCGATCATCTTCACATAAAGAACACGCCTTAGCCCCCCAACGAGAGTATGGCATTTCAAACAGAGTAACTGGCGAAAGTTTGTCAACATCACCAAATGCTACTCCAGGAATATACAGGGCACAAACTAGATGCACCCATTTACCGACATCAGTTTCCTTAAAAATACCACCAGTGTTCGGACAAAGTTCACAAGTTGGGTTCATGTTTCCAGCTTTACATGCATCACAAAACCATGGCTCAGTAGAGTAAGATGAAACAGTACTGACCGCAGTTTCGACGTCACTAATACCATAACAGCCTTCGTGCACCGAAATTCCACAACAATCACACTCAACTATTTCATCTTCTTCATCCATTGTCTTATCGGAGCCTTGTCTAGGAAGTAGGCTAACATCGCCCAAACAGACACTGCATATAAGTACTTTTAATTTCTTTTGGATAACACCGCTCATTTCTAATTTGGATTTAACTTGATGCTGTATGTTTTCATTTGCATTACAAGACAATGATTGGCTCAAATCTTTGACAGAAGGATCATTTGGAGGGTTGATTTCATCATCACCATCCTGGTCCTCTTCATCTTCCTCTTCGCTGTTGTCATCATTACCGGCTGAGCTTTCGCCGGAATCTTCATTTGATTCTTCTTCGGGGACATCATCTCCGATTTTAAAATCGCTATCATCAGAACTATCGTCCATATCTGCAAATGACATGAGTTGTTGCATATGATTCTCTACGGGCTTCACTTTCCTTTTACTAGGATCTCTTTCAACCATTGTACGATACAAAAAACTAGCTCCTTCAAGCGGATCTTGTTCCGCCATGTTGGCGTTATTTTGCTCCATCAATAAATGGGTAGGGAATAAAGTTTTTAAACAGTCTAAAAAAGTTACAATTTTTATTAAATCTTTTAAATGCAAGCAGAGAAGGTAGATGGCATAAAAGTAGTTAAACTTACTTCGCGATTTTATTCTTCGAAACAAACAGAACGCTTCTCTGATCTCAGATTTCTTTTTTTTATATTTAAATTAGGTATTGCCACTCACTACTTATAACAACAAAAATTAAGTACAATTAATAAATTTTCTTGATATTGAATTTAGGAAATTGTTTTCGAAAAATAGAATTTCAAGTAAAAATACAGATCGTTTTATTTGTATTGCTGATTTTTAAAACTTTATATCTTGTTAAAATATTTTATTTACAAATAATGCATCGGTATGATCTAGGCAGCCGGAAACAGATGGCGCAATGTCATAAATAAATAATAGTTATCACTTCCGATTTAGAAAAAATTTAGTCTTTGCTGACCTCCATATCAAATTTTCTATTGTCTAAATTATTTAGGAAATTTTGAATGTATGGGATCACCTATATAAATAAAACTGAGTGTGCAATAACATAAATATTTCCAAGTGATTGGCCTTCACTCATAAATATCGGACTGTAAAAAATGAATAGAACAGAAGGGCTCGTTTTGCGAAAAAATGCTGTTTCTCAAAACGTCGATAGGTACGAAAATAATGATGACGAGCCTGAAAAACTTCTCACTGAAGAACCTGAAGAAGAAGATGTAGATTCTAAAGAAACAAGATTAACGTTGATGGAGGAAGTTTTATTATTAGGTTTAAAAGATAAAGAGGTATGCCTGTAATGATCATTACGTCATTATTAGAAATAACTCCACTTTGTTTATAAATAAACATACTGGCACATACACAATGTTTACGCAGAAGTAATTCAGTTTAAAAGTTTACTAGCTCGTTCATTATTCACAATTTAATTTTTCTAACTGCAGTCGTTTTAATCTTTTGGCACATCTACTCAACAAATAAATAATTCACTTTCATGTATAACGTACTCTGGGATCAATCCTGAAGAGTTCTTCCGGGACTTGTTTTTGCGAAAAATATTTTTGTTAAAAGTTTTCCGCATTCTATATAATATATATTTCTATAAATGTAAAATATATAGAAAGGCTAAATTGAAATAAATGTTTATAACATTTACAAATATAAAATTATGCGTGCAAGCATTTTTGTAATCAAAGAACAGTCCAGGTTTTATAAAAAGGAAGATTTCTATGTACTAATCATGTCCAGAATAATCGTCAAATCTCGTAAACTTCTGGTGAAAATTAGGAGAAACATCTTAAAAAAGGGTCTAACTGGAAAGATTTAGGGGAATTTCCATATTGTGGTCAGTTGCAGAATAATTGCAAAGTCTTGGCAGCGACCTGAAAGAAACTAAACAAAACATCAGAGAAAAGTACCAACTCTAAAGGTTTAACTCATAGCCAACCTCGGGTAAACATCTACATGTTTTTTTTAAATTTGATTAAATTGCAAGTTTAAAATCTATTTGACGCCTTGGCGATTACAGTTGGTGCAACAGATCATGATACGGAAACGTCCCCAAAAGTTTAACCCTTAACCATCCCCTCAAGCAAAGTTCTACATGTTTTTCTTATAAAAAAGGCAAGTTTGGCATGTGTAGAGTTGACCTGACAGACTACAATAGGGAAATAAACCGAGAAAAAAAATTGATTCTATAAAAAATTTTAAATTATTCTTGTAAAAATTTCTTACTAAATGAAAACATCCAGTTTTAACAACAGGGGTCTGTCTAGGTTTTTCTGAGAGGTACCTATTTTGTGAAAATTTAGACATAATTTGTGAAAAATTAAAAATTATATTTAAAAATCAACACAGAAATATGGATTTATCGCTTCTTAAGGGANCATCTACATGTTTTTTTTTAAAATTTGATTAAATTGCAAGTTTAAAATCTAATTGACGCCTTGGCGATTACAGTTGGTGCAACAGATCATGATACGGAAACGTCCCCAAAAGTTTTACCTTTAACCATCCTCTCAAGCAAAGTTCTACATGTTTTTCTTATAAAAAAAGGCAAGTTTGGCGTGTGTAGAGTTGACCTGACAGACTACAATAGAGAAATAAACCGAGAAAAAAAAATGATTCTATAAAAAAATTTAAATTATTCTTGTAAAAATTTCTTACTAAATGAAAACATCCAGTTTTAACAATCACTATTTTTTATAAAAAATTTTTTGGTAAATCCATGTGGTTTTCCAATCTTTTTTTTCGGCAGCTTCCTTATTGTTTTTCAATTTAATTCCTATATATTTAATAAGACTTTTGTAATCCAGAGACGATCCAGTTGTTAATTTTTAGAACTCACCTGGAAGAGAAATGTTAACTTGCACAAAGTCCATATATCACGGATTTTCTTAATTATTGCTTCCTAAAACCAACTTCCTTTTCTTAACCTGGCTAGTTAGGAAGCTCTTTTTGAAATATGCCGGAAACTTGCAAGAAATGGTAGAGACGCATTTCAGAAGTCTGTGGGAGTCTGAAACATCAAAAGAGTGCAAAGGATGAGATAGTTTATAACTGATTCCTATACTTCAAACCTTGCCACAATACAAGTTTTATCTAATTCCACAAAAGGAATTTTGACTGTTTTGCTGTTGAAATATTGTAACAAAGCCCCAATATTGAAGGGCAGGGTCAGATTAAGTGTACGCGGGGCCGTAGGCCATTTAAATTTTTGGGGGCCCTTAGATTAAATTTTTTTTCTCGTATATTTTTTATTTATTGAAATATAAAAGTATTTATATATCTTTTTAATTTAAGAATGCATATTTAAAAGAAAAATAAATAATAATAAATTAAATTTTTCTTTATTTTATTAAATTAGAATTAAAAAATAATCATAACATTTTTAAAAAATTTGAGAAATCATTGTTTTTCTTAATTTTTTAAAACTTCCATTTTAAGGGGTCCCCTAATCATTGGGGGCCCCAGGCCATGGCCTAATGGGTAATCCGGCCCAGCTGAGGGGGGGGGGAATATATTGTTAGAAACATAACTTCCAGATTACTAATTTAGTTATTTCCCAAATGACGCTTTCCCTTCATCACACACTTGTCAAACACTCTTTTAATTACAATCCTAGTAAAATGAAGTTTCTAGCAATTAATTGCAAAGCACCTTAGAGTTCAAGCCTGAGCCCATGCGTTTTGAAAGCTTAAGTGGTGAAACTGACAAGGAGTTTTCTCGGTCAAATAAGATAAATTTAATAAAAATTTTAAAATTAAATATAATACCAGTGGCTCTTCAATTAATTTGATTTTTTATTACAAATTTTCGATAAATTTTTAAAGACATATGCTGGTAACCAGGTGTATTGCAAAAAATATAGATACTAAGTGGATATCAATAACAAAATAAAATATGTATGGTAAAAAAAAAAATTTTAAATATATTTTTAATTATTTATATTTGATTACATGTTCCTATATAATTTTACATTGTACATAATAGCGAAATTAATTGTTAAATGTAATGAAAATTTTGTTACATTTTTTTTTGTCTGCCTTTACATGTAAGAAACTGAATTTTGGACGGTATTTACTTGCATAAGCATTGTTTTTACTTCTGAAATGTCAAAAACTTGAAATTTAAAAAAAAAAATATGTGCTTGTTGGAGTACTACTCTTCGGCTTGATCCATTTCTGTGATGTTTTTTTGGTTTCTCGCGGGGTGCTGCCCTGAAGTTAACAGGACTCCAACCCCAGATCATAATACGGAAATATTTCTAAATTATCATAATATGGAAATATTCTTCCCCTTCACTAAATTCTAATACACCCTTTAAAAAATCTGGATCCAAAATAAAATCTTTTATAAAAAACCTGAATTCAGCATAAGACTCTTCTCAAAAAACAGTTTCAGAAAGAGATTCTTCACAAAAAAAAATGACTGAACAAAATTAGAGGATGATTATTTCACATAATCCTTTTATTCTAAATTGTATTATTATCCTATTTTTGATTGCAGGTTTAAAACTCAAAAAATAATTTTTATACACATGAAAGAGGGATATTTCTGATAGTGATTTGTCATCCCAATTACGATCGCTAAGGGGCCGAAAAGATTTTAAACTTGTCAAACATGTACAGCTTTGCTCTAAGGTTGTTACAATTATTGAAATACATAACATAAAATCTTCGTAGCTTCTGAAGTATCTACATTATGAATGTCGAACTTCACGATGGAAGTTAGCATGCGCTCTCAACATGTTGTCGGCCATTTGGAAGGATACACACTAATAACGAAGTTTAACGCTATAATTTTTTTATATTTATAATCATTGCAGTGATGTACATCAGGAATTTTAAGAATAAAAATCGAGGCTGACATCATTATATAAATAATGAAATGAGAAAAACATGCTACAACAATATCAAAAAAGAAAAGAAAATATTCACATGAGAAGTTTATTTTATATTTTAATTTTTTTAAAAACAAAACGACACTGGGTTTTGTTTTGGAAGAGATTGAACATTGTTGCTTGGATGTACTTAATGTGATTAAATAAATGAATGTTTTTTTTTAATTTTCTCTCTATTTCCAATTGCACCAAATCAAATTTTTACTTAAATTATCCATTATCAACCACAGATTGTAAGTTTGATCTAAACCAGAGAATGATCAATCTCCAATTCAGTATCCCTGGAGGTATAGATTTGTAATGGGAGATTGGAAAACTTTGTGACCCTGACAGGTTTGATATGCACCAGCCACCATTTACTACACAGGGGGTTTTTGGCCTGCGTAAACATAATACACAATATTTCAAGATCATTTAATGTGAAATCATAACTGGAAAATATTGCATATTTTCTATTATGAGGACTATGAAAATCCCTAAAATTCCCTATGAGTAAAATCTTTAGTATATTTTGCAACAATTCATGAGATTATATCATGAAATTTATATTATTTCGTAAAATCTACTGGATTTTTTCCTATATACTACACAGGGAGTTTTTGGCCTGCATAAACATAATACACAATATTTCAAGATCATTTAATGTGAAATCATAACTGGAATATATTGCATACTTTCTATTATGAGGACTATGAAAATCCCTAAAATTCCCTATGAGTAAAATCTTTAGGCAACAATTATCATGAAATTTATATTATTTCGTAAAATCTACTGGATTTTTTCCTGTATACTGCACAGGGAGTTTTTGGCCTGCATAAACATAATACACAATATTTCAAGATCATTTAATGTGAAATCATAACTGGAAAATATTGCATATTTTCTATTATGAGGACTATGAAAATCCCTAAAATTCCCTATGAGTAAAATCTTTAGTATATTTTGCAACAATTATCATAAAATTTATATTACAGTATAGAACCCGTTATCAGAATCAGAAAATCAAATCAGAATCCGTTATCAAATCGGAAAACCAAAAAACCGGAACGAAATTCGATAAATTTTCCCGCCATTTAAAAAAAAAAAAAAAATTTTTTCTCTTATAAGATTTTAGGATTTTTCTTTCTTTTTTGAAGGATGTTTACCTTACCATCATTGGGAAATAATCATTAGTGTATTACTCCATCGTTTTTCCTTCTTTTTTAAGATTATTTCCCAATTTTTTTTTTTTTTATTTGGGTATAACAATAAAAAAAGCGGCTTTTTGTAGCGATTCAGAAAACCGGAAAAATCAGTTATCCGGAATAGCGATGGTCCCGATCTTCCGGATAATCGGTTCCCTACTGTATTTCGTAAAATCTACTGGATTTTTTCCTATCCGTGTTGGCAGCTATGCACATTTGTATAATGTGGGGTGCATTTTTATTTACTTGCAAATATGTATTTACTAAATTTGAATAATTATTCTAGGGTTACACATCATTTTGGAATGATTCCATATCATCTGGATTGCGTGGATGTATCCTAGTAGAGTTAGCTCTTAGAGGTAGAGTAGAATTGGAGAAAGCTGGCATGAGACGCCGCAGTTTGCTTATGAGGAAGGTGTTGGTTAAAAACGATTCTCCAACTGGTGATGTCTTACTAGACGAAGCATTAAAACATGTTAAAGAAACGGAACCTCCTGAAACTTTACAAAGTTGGATTGATTATCTAAGTGGTGGGTATATTGGTTTCATGTTACTGTATCAAATGCACTCTTTGAAAATTCCACTCCTTCCTTGAATTATCTTTAGTCACTGATGCATTTTGAAATTTCATGCTTTCCAAAATGCTATTTTATTCCATTATCAAAAATTTTAACTACTGCAAGTGAATTATTTTGGGTTTATTCCAAATAATAATAATTTAGGTAACTATTATATTTGCAAAAGTCTGTCTAGGTTTTTTTTTCTTAAGTGGTACCTATTTTGTGAAAATGTACACATAATTTGTGAAAATTAGAAATTATATTAAAAAATCAACACAAAAAGTATGGTGAGAAAATATTTTCAAAAATTGTCACTATAAATAAAAATCATTTATGACTGGTAAATTTCTATATATTTTTCCTCATATATTCATAATTAATTTTGCAATTGTAAAAGTTTAGGCTAAAAATTTTAACTAAATTACAAATTCTATAAGAATCATTGTCATTGTCAAGAATCATTTGAAATTTTTTTTTTTTAATATTAATAGTGTTTTTGTTTGTCTGATGGATGACATTAATTAATTTTTTTGTTGATGTTATTAATGTTGTTCATTGGCAATTTTATTTGTTTTGATCTGTTCTTTTACTCTAATAATAATTTTCGGAATAATTGCATGAAATTAATTAGTGTTTAAATATCAATAATAATATTGATTGGAGGTTTATTACTTTTTTTCTTCTCATCTTTGATATTTCCATTGATATTTTTTTATATACCGACCTTATTCACAATGTGACAGTTTTATTTATTATTAAAACATTATTAATATTTAGTTTAGAATATTTATTACAAATTAGTTATAAAATTTTATGTCTCTTCATTCAGTAATATGAGTATATGATTACCAGTATAGAAAGTATCTAAGCGAATTTATTATCTAATTTATTGTTATGTATGTTACACTTTATAGAATTCATATTTATAATGATTAATATTTGAATTTATGTTTAAATATTGTACCTAGACGTAAAAAAGTCAAAAGTTAAAATATTTTATTTTTCCCCCACCTAATTGTCGTATTTAATATTTTTTTTCCATGTTCCCATAACAAATCAATACCTCTGGGGGTACTGATCCAGGTGTTTCCTTGTCTTCTGGATTGGTTCAAAATTACAAGGCTACGGAGTAGAACATTAGTAGTCGTAAACCGAAAATTGGGTCAGCTGTTCAATGACGGATATAAAAATCAATATGGTCACTCACACTCCAAAAGAGATGCTGGATGTGATGTCATGCTGTTAGTAAAGGCATTTAAGTTTGTTTTATGCCATATCCCATTACAGCTGAATAACGTCGCCCTGTCCATTTCATGTCGTCCAGCATTGATGCTTGCAGTTATTTTACTCAATGTTACTTGTCTGATAACACTGGCAATTCCATTCACTTGTTGTCAGTCAGTGCATGCAGTCGGTCACTGCGTTGACCATTATAGGTGGTACTATCTGAAATTAGGAATATATGGAAACATGAATATATAGAAAACATGGAAAATATTACAGAACAATAAAAAAAGGGAAAAAGAGAAATAATAATGATGAAAATCTGAAAGAAAAAAGGAGAAAAAAAATTAATAAAAATCTGGAAAATATGAGATATAATCTTTTCATCACCTCACACGATTATATCCGCAAAAAGGAGTGCTTTCTAATATTGTATCAGTATAGCCAAATCAAAATATATCAATACAATAGTGTTAGGAGCACTAAAAAAATATATATACAGTAAAACCTCTGTTAAGCGGACATTCTTGGGACCGAAAAAATTGTCCGTTTATGAGAGTTGTCCGCTTGCTGGAAGTGTACTCTAATAACGAAGTTTGACACTGTTAATTGTTTTTAGAATATTTTCAAGATGTAGAAATAATTAAATAATTTGCAATAACTATCTAAAAGGATATTTATTTAAACTTTAAGAAAGGTAAAAAAGAATATATAAAGAAGTTTGATATAAATACATAATTCTAGATGTAGCTACAGATAAATGAATATAATTTTCCTATTAGCATAGATACTCAAGTCAGACATATGATACCGAATAGGTTTCANTTTTTTTTTTTTTTTTTTTTTTTTTTTTTTTTTAATTTTTGAAATCTCACTTAACTTTTTGAAATCTCACCCTGTTTTTGAGAAAGGGTGAGAAATTCTCACTCATTTTTTTTCTGAGATGAAAACACTGTGTACTCTAATAACGAAGTTTGACACTGTTAATTGTTTTTGGAATATTTTCAAGATGTAGAAATAATTAAATAATTTGCAATGACTATCTAAAAGGATATTTATTTAAACTTCAAGAAAGGTAAAATAGAATATATAAGGAAGTTTGATATAAATACATAATTCTAGATGTAGCTACAGATAAATGAATATAATTTTCCTATTAGCATAGATACTCAAGTCAGACATATGATACCGAATAGGTTTCAATCCTCCGTAAGTTTCAGTTATTAGGTTTACATCCCCTTATACCTACCTATCATTTGATAGGGAACATAGTTAATACCTTCTTGAAAGTAAACCTCCCATGCTTCACAGTTAAGTCACGAGGACCTATGGAGTTGATTATTCACAATTGCTCAGCTATGAAGTGTCTGAATAAGTGTCTCATATTATGAACTCATCAAAGATTATATTTCTGTTCTCTTTTTTACCCCAGCTGTGTTAAGTACCGTCTTTAAATTGATAAGAAAATTAAAGAAGAAGCGTTGATAGCATTTAAGATGCCATTTCATCTTTAGTGGTCTCATAACCTGTGTGGTCCAGATGAAAAGATCAAAAGATGCTGCTGTCTGAATTATGTCAGGAGAGCAGTATAATTTTTTCTCCTTTCTTAGCAAAGAAGATAAGGCAAGGAGAAAGATTGATTCTTCAGTGGTGAAATAGCTTAAAAATATTTTTAGTTATGGATAAGGCAAAAAATTTACGCGTTTTAAAAATGGCGAAAAGGTGTATTTTTTTCCCCTTGCAATTTAAAGCAGAAATATTACTTTTTTTTTTCAAATTTAGAAAAAGTAGCGTCCGGTTTGAAGAGATAGAAAATAATGTTTCATAGCCAAAATGACTGTTCGGTTACGGGAGTATCCACTTTGCGGAAAATGTGCATAATGGTTTCTTCATAGAAGATTCACGGGGAATTAAAAATATGTCCGTATTGAGAGGCCCCCATTGTGCAGGAGTGTCCATAACAGGAGGTTTCACTATATATATATACAATATAAACAAATATTTTTATAGATAATGAGAAAGACAGTTAGGACCAATTACTATGGTTAACAGTTACTTATATATTTCATTTTATTTGTTTTACTACTTAACAGTGAATGTTTTTAGAACTGCTGTTTTTACTACTCATATTTTTGTTAATTTTTTAACCTTCGTCTTAATAAATACTTGAAACTTGAATGAGTATAGTAATAATAAATACTACTGTATAAATAATAATTATGCACCATAATAATAAATATTTTTAGGATTGAATACATTTAATATTTTTTAGAATCGCATGCAATAAATATTTTTTAGGATGATTCTGTTTCTACTTTATGAAAATCTTGAATGAGGTTAATAATTTTGCAATTAATGGTTGATTATAACTGTTCATTACTGCATAAAGATTTTTGTTTATTTTAGCTGAATTATATATGATTCAGTATTAAATTATGTCAAATTAGTATTTTTAAGAACGAAAGATGGCTGAGCAGTAGCGCTTCGCGCTGTCGTGCCACAGGTCCCTGGATTGATCCTCAGGCCGGGCAAGGTTGACTCAGCCTTTCATCCCTTCAGTGGGTCGATAAATGAGTACCAAGCATGCTTGGGAACTAAACACTGGGGGGTTCCGCGTTCGACAGACCACCTGACCGGAACATCTGCTCCTGCACTCCAGAGCCCAAGGTCAAGAAAACTGAGATGGGCACAGTAGGCCTTGGCCCTCTATGGGCTGTCGCGCCGCTGAGTTTTAGTTTTAGTATTTTTAAGAACTGCAGTTATATTTGATATATGTACCTATATATATATGTGTGGAGTTTGGAGCTGTTGTTATAGTATTATAGTGTAATAACTGTGAACATTGCGTCATCTTGTAATATTAAAGGAAGTTGCATCATCCTCTTGACATTGAGAGGCGCCAGCCAGACCAGAAGGGGAAGTCCTGAAGGGAAACTCCCGAATTTATAATTAACTCTTACTTTATACCATAGAACACTCTAATTCTTAGTCACATGCATTCCGGAGACCACTGCTGACTATCTCCCACATATATAATGAATGTTTTGATAACCAACTTGTAAAGTGTGCTTAATGTTTGTCTGATCATTAAACTGGATTATTTCTTGGATAAAAGATATCTTCAGGAATTGCTATTAATATTTTAGAGTAGTTAATTGCTAATTTCTCGATATTATTGTATCGCTAAAATAAAACTTCTATGAAATCTAGCTATGGACAGGACTGTGAAAAGCAGACTCTTCTCTGTTCTGTAAAAACTGTGATAAAAATTTCACCAATGAAAACCAAACTAGTACAGAAACATAATGAAAATCATGTCATAGTTGTGTTGTAGTTGCTTATCCTCTTAATCTGACATGTGTCAGATAAGCTCCAAGTTGCCGCCGACCACAAGAAAATTCTTAATATAAAAGGGATCTGATGTAAGATCCACCGCCATAGTAAAAAGCACAAACCACAGTAAAAAAAAATTTAGAAAATTATCGTATTATTTACCATTCTATCCAGAACTTTGACAACCTTATAGGAGTGATTGTATCCCGGGTGTATCCCAGAAATCTAGGTTTTTCGTATCATCCCTCTAGATCTAGAAACCAATAGCAGGGCATGTGATTTTTTTGCAGAATTCTGCATACCTCAAGACCATTCATTTGCGGACTTCCACGAATCAAAACTTATAATCCGACGAAATTTTCACTACAATTTAAAATTTGTAAGAATTAATTTCTACAATCTAAAATTGAAACCTTTACTAAATCATGTTAATGAGACGTTTTCATAAATGTGACTCTTCTGAAATTTTGATTTGTGGGATTTTCATAGTTTTTAATGATTGAAACTGCACTGTAATCCTCTAATCTCGCGATTCATATTCCTGTGATTTTAATATCTAACATCGATTTTTGTATTTACCTGATTTAAAAGTCATTCATTGTGAATCGTTGAATCGTATTCTTTGATTTTAAAATCGTACATCGCAATTCATATTCAGACAAGTTTAAAGTCCAATGTCACTACTCGTATTCACGGGATCTAAAAATCGTGTGTCGCGATTCAAAAATTAAATATTGCGATTTGTATTTTTAGTTTCTTAAATACAGTATTTGCAATTCATATTCCCACAATTTTGAAATCCAATATCCCGATTCCTGTAAGAATTTAACTAAATTTTTTCTTAAATTAGTTACTACAAAAGTGTGATATTCTTTACTGGTAATAATAAATCCTAATTCCATAAATTATATTAAATATGAATAATATATAAATTGATATCATGTTATCAAGTTTTTTGTTCATAAAATTTTCAGAATTTTTCACTTTGTGTCACAATCCCCTCTGACCTTATACATGGTGCGTAACGTTTTTAAAAAGTGCTTAAAGGTGCTTATTTTCGATATTCGTTTCTTTAAATGCGCTTAATATTCCTTTTTCGAAAATTAGATTTTTTTTCTTTACCATGTCGATTTTCGCCATGTATTATGAAAAAGCGTGGTTTTCACATTGTTCTATTCATCGTTTTCACAATTCATTCAACCGCAATCCATTTCGGCGTATCGTCGGTCCGTAGCCTATGCGATCATTTTATATGCTTGATGGAAATATTTGTAAGCCCACATGTGCGTTTATTGAGTTGGGTTCAGTAAGACTCTACCACTCTCATGTGCAACTCTTCTGCATTTTACAACATATTCTGAAACTCGGGCTTCATTTTTAACCCTCTCAAATCAAACCAAAAAATCTTTAGATCTTCCTATGCTAATATAATCAGGAAAAGAGTTTCTTGTCAGAAACTAGTTATTTTGTCATGATTATGTTAAGTCTTTGAAAATTATTTTGCATTTTACTAGCGTATATAGTGCTTAAAAATATTTTTTGAGTGCTTTAAAAGTACTTGAAAGGTGCTTATTAATATTTTTTGTTAAAAGATTTGACTACGCACCTTGTTATATATATATTTTGTGATTTTGAAATGTTGTGAGTTAGATGCTTTATGACATGTGCATTCATTTAATAAAAGAAAACATTTCAGGTGAGACTTGGAATCCTCTAAAACTCCGATATCAGTTAAGAAATGTTCGGGAGAGGCTTGCTAAAAACTTGGTTGAGAAAGGTGTCCTAACAACTGAAAAACAGAACTTCCTACTATTCGACATGACGACTCATCCTCTGACGGACTCTTCCACAAAAACCAAACTTGTGAAGAAAGTCCAGGATGCAGTACTGAGCAAATGGATCAATGACCCACACAGAATGGACAAGCGCATTCTATCGCTTATTATTCTCGCTCATTCCTCTGACGTCTTAGAGAATGCTTTTGCCCCCCTCTCTGACGACGACTACGAGGTGGCCATGAAGAGAGTCCGAGAATTACTCGAACTGGACGTCGAGGCGGAAAGTATGAAAGCGAATGCCAATGAGGCAATGTGGGCTGTGTTTGCAGCTTTTGTAAAATGAGGTAGCATTATATAAAATTATATATATTGTACATTTGAATGAAAAAAAACTTGCATTAATAATAGTTTGTTTTCTTTCTCCTCCCGCTCCTGGACATTTTTTTTGGGAGGGGAGGGGGAGACTGTCTATTAAATTCAGGTGGAATCTTTTCAAATAATAATCTGTTCTTGCAGTTCTTATAATGCAATGTGATTTTTCTTTTTCTTCTTTGTCAAACGGGTTTCTTGTCTTCGATATTAAAAATTTGAATTTTTATAAAACAAGTATAGTTGAATTGTGTTAATAAAATATTTTAACTTGCTTTTGATTATTGCTTATTTCTAACTGGTATTAGATTAATATTTGGAACATGAATTAATTTATATTGAAAAGATATCTAAAATTCTTTGGAAAAAAAAATCTTTAGGCATGCAACGAAAAGTTTTTGATAAGATTTTATTTGTTTGGACCTAGAAATAAAACTTCCAGAAAGTTTATTTTTTTGTGTTAGGAATATTTCTGATGTCCTATGTATTATTTCTAAATAAACTTTGGTTTGTTTTTTTTTAATTATTATCTTTTTCTTTTAAGTGGGACCATAATTTGTTATTTTACTTTGCTGTGGGTATTTTTTAACTGACATTTAATTGCTTTCATTTTTTTTATTAGTATTTTTTAGATATGTTGTTATATAAACTTCTTTAAAAAATGTTTTAGCTTGGATAATTTTTTCTTAAAGCATAGTTAAAAGATGTGTTGAAATTTTTTTTCCTTTTGTTGAGTGAAAAAAATCCCATTTTTTATTACGCTCACAGAGTGGTAGTGGCCGAACTCGAAACATCTCAATTGTGAGGTATGTACAAAATGAGTATTATAAGTTATTCAAGATTGATTTTAAGATTATTTTAATTGACCATCAATTCGTAAAAACATGATTAGTCTTGTAATTATATATATTTTTTAATTTGCTTTTACTATGTCATTTTGGAGCTTGACACAGTAAAACTGAGTAATAACTTTTGAAAAGAATTGAGTTGTGTCATTTACCATGTACTCCATTTATGAAAATGAATAACTCGGAACAATATAAATAATACAAAATGTTTATGTTACACTAAAGTTGCATATAAATAACTGCTTAAGTATAGTGAAGTATTAGAATTTTTGTTTTGTTCATGTATGTTCTGCATTATTATAATTTTGCTATTGTATAAATGATTTCACACACTGAATTCATACAACTATTTTCACACCATCATCGTTTCAGGGTTTACTTTTTAACAGGATTGATATGGGTTTTTTAAATTCTAATAAAGGTTTTTACTTATGGAAATGTTTTTTAGAGTTCTCAATTTAAAATTTTGGTTCATAATTTGAGTTTGAATTTTATAGTTTTTTATGAGTCTTTTAGGTTTTTAAAATATTCTATTTTCAAGAAAAATTATCATTTGCTATTACGAAAGTGGTGAAATTGTTCGGGACAAAAGCTATAGTTTTCCGAAAGGAAGATTTATTTTTTCCTTCTCTCTTTTTTTTAGTTAACCTTGTCTGGTAATCACATACTAGTTCTGCAATATTGAAAAATAATGGTTTCACAGTTTCTCTCATTTTGTTTATTCTCTCATTTCAGTACTAAAGTATAACATTATTTGATTTTTTCTTTCTTGAACATATTATTAATGATATTTGTGTTTTGTCTAAAATCTGATGTCAAAAAGCTCTATATTTTAAGAGGCATCTATCTTTGCCATCTTGGTTTTCAGATTAAATTTTTGAATTTCATTTGTTTTAAAATCTTTTTGTACTTAGTAAACTTTTGATGATAGAGTATTATTTGACAGCACAGTACCTTTCAAAAAAGGTGGAAAATAAGTGGGGTGCTTTATTAGACTAGGAGAAAAAGTGCTTGATAGTTTTTGGAACTCCTATGAAATTTTTCTCAAAACTTTAAAGCAATTAGAAATTTTGGTTTTTAGTCAGACCTGTGGCAGAAGTTTTTCGGGCTTTCTGTGACTCTCCAATACTGCAGGATGCGTAGCGTTTTTAAAAGTGCTTAAAGATGTTTATTTTCGATTTTCATTTTTTAAAAGCCCTTAAAGGTGCTTATTTTATTGCGTGTTTTTAAAAAGTGCTTAATTTTCCTTTTTTCAAAATAAGATTTTTCCTTTACTGTGTTGATTATCGCTTCGAATTATGCAAAAAGGCACAGTTCACATTGTTCTATTGAACTTTTTCATAATTAATTCAACCCCAATCTATTTCGGCGTATTGTCAGTCCATAGCGTGTGAAAACGCCATTTGTTTTAGATTCCAAATTTCATGATTTTTGACAATTGTCAAAAACAATGCTAAAAGGTTTTTTTTTTCTTACATGAGGATTAAAACAAGATAAAACAGTCAATTATCAAAAACTTTCCAACCCTGCCTAAGTAATGATATTTTTTTAAAGTGCTTAAAAATATTTTTTGAAGTGTTTGAAAAGTGCTTAGAAGGTGCTTATTTTTTGTTGAATAATTTGGCTATGCACCTTGAGATATTCTCGCATTTTGTAAGGAGGAAACACTAATTATTTACTTTTTTGCATTTTGTAAATTATCACACTAAAAAAAAATAATATTGAAAAAATCGGGAAATCCGGAGCAGTTACTACCGAAAAAAAGATCGACGTCGAAATCACGTGAATCGGACACTTCAAAAAGGAGTTACTAAATGCGTGTTTTCAATTCGAGATTCAGTTGTTGTAATAAATAATATTGCTTTAAAAATATCGGATTTTAAAAGCTATGTTTAAATCAATAGTAATAACTGCATCAAAAAATAGAACGAAAATTTCTACAGAAAAGAAAACCAAATTTTTTACTTTATTTTTCATTGTTCTCAAATGAGAATAGAAAAATCATATGCATTTTTTTCCAGACATCTTTTGAATATAATTCTGACGAAAAGATCAAATCTTTCAAAAATTTCTGCAGAAAAGAAACCCAAAATTTTTTACTTTCCAGTGGAAAAATCTTGCTGCAAGAACTCTGTCACTTTCTGCGACAATGTCACCACGATTCTGCCACGGGGTTGGTCAGTAATTAAGAACTACAAATTTGTTGGTTTTTTAGGTTTGTTAAACTTTAATTTTATTGCAGTTTAAACTGATAAAAACAGATTTCGATGATATGAATTGCGCAAAAACGAATATGTTTATCAAAAATCTGAAAACAGACAAATGTATGCTATCTAACCACCATGCAAAAATTGCAGATTTCGAAAATGGATTGGTATAATTTTGTCGGAAAAAACTTTAAACAGAATCTAAAATATTGCATGCTTTATGCATCTAATTCTGATAGTTTGACAGCTTTGTATTTAACGTGTATTGAAAGATGCTACCCAATAGAGAAAAATTCACCATCAGTTTATTTGTGAAAATTAAATAGAAAGGATTAAAAGCATAGTTAGAATTTTCCACCAAGTCTACACCTCTTTGAGAGTTGAGTTTGATTGAGAGAAGATGGGCCTCTTCGAGACGGGTGAGTCATATATCAGGGGTCTGTTTAGAAGAAATTTGCGAAAGACAGTTGTAAACGAACTAAGTTTTTTCTAAGTCTAAGTAAAAGAACTTTTGTCTTTGGCAGACGCTTCTTCCTTTATTTGTCCGAAATGAATGTTCTGCATTCAGTGGTATAGGCTAAATACCAAATATTTGTATGTTGCATCTCTAATTTAGTAGCAGCAATTTCTGTTTATTTTTTTAAATTAAATTTTTTTTTAATTATAATTTTACAGTGTTGAGCATAATCTTGTATGTCTTTACAATTTAAAAACTCCTTGAAAAAATTTTTTGCAATGACAGGACCCTATTTGCACAAATTCACAAAAGCAGGACCCTGGTTGAAAGAATGTGACTTAACGTTTATTTTATATTCAAGAATTGCGAATAATTTTTTCACCCTAACTATTGTTATTGCAGTTTATTTGTGGGCGGGGTAATAATAGTTTTCTTTATTAATATCACCAAGACTTAGTTGAAATTGAAAATTATATAGTTACACTTATAACAAATATAGCTTGGATTTAAAGTGAAAGCAAAAATAAGGTTGTCAAATTAGCCATGCCCAAACTTAAGCTACCGCTTTTTATTTCCCCCCCCCATCCTGTTTCTAATTCCATACGAATATATTTATGACTCGCCCATCCCGATAAGGTTAATCACTCGATCCATACAACTTCTGTTGCTAGGTAATCAGTCATGGAAATGTTCTGCTCTTATTCGTGTTCTATTACAATCCCATAAAAATATTAATAAAGTAAATGTTATATATTTCTATTTTTAAAGGTATTTCATTTCATAACATAATTAATTAATTGCTAATTTAGTTAATTTGTAAAATTAATTTTGTGATAAGTTAATGTCATAATAGTAATATACATTTCAGTAAAAGTTTTGTTCTAATAATCATAAAGATTAATGTAAACAATTTTCACAAGATAAGNCTTGAAAAAGTTTTTTGCAATGACAGGACCCTATTTGCACAAATTCACAAAAGCAGGACCCTGGTTGAAAGAATGTGACTTAACGTTTATTTTATATTCACAAATTACGAATAATTTTTTCACCCTAACTATTTTTATTGCAGTTTATTTGTGGGCGGGGTAATAATAGTTTTCTTTATTAATATCACCAAGACTTAGTTGAAATTAAAAATTATATAGTTACACTTATAACAAATATAGCTTGAATTTAAAGTGAAAGCAAAAATAAGGTTGTCAAATTAGCCATTCCCAAACTTAAGCTACCGCTTTTTATTTTTCCCCCCATCCTGTTTCTGATTCCATACGAATATATTTATGACTCGCCCATCCCGAAAAGGTTAATCACTCGATCCATACAACTTCTGTTGCTGGATAATCAGTCGTTGAAATGTTTTGCCTTATTCGTGTTCTATTACAATCCCATAAAAATATTAATAAAGTAAATGTTATATATTTCTATTTTTAAAGGTATTTCATTTCATAACATAATTAATTAATTGCTAATTTAGTTAATTTGTAAAATTAATTTTGTGATAAGTTAATGTCATAATAGTAATATACATTTCAGTAAAAGTTTTGTTCTAATAATCATAAAGATTAATGTAAACAATTTTCACAAGATAAGAGATTTCAAGTAACCCAATTTTTTTTTAATTTTTAAAATCTAAAAAGTTCTTGCAGTTCTGATAGTAACAGAGCAAAGTTGATTTGAAACCTATATTTTATTATGATAAGAGTGTTAATTTGTTTTATTTTAATCTATGTTTTTAGCCTCTTAGAATTAAGTATGTTAATTTT